GGTCACCTTCTGGGATATTCGAAATTGGTCCCATGGACAAATCATTGTCACTCATAATTTTGTCCAACAGTATCATGACTTATGTTCAGCAGAATATAGAGAGGGCAAACTTTTATTCCCTTAAGGCTTTGTTTGGTTGTTGAGTTAGTGATTTTGTTGTTAGAGCTTTAAAATGGTCATAGATTTCCTTTCATTTCCTCTTGTATGTGTCAACTCACAAGATAAATAGGTCTTTTGTAATTACGGAGGTTCAAATGCACGATAACTATTTGGTTTAAGTTAATTTAGATTGCCTCAAAATGACAGAGAGAGTAGCAATCACCCTATGCCCATTTCTCACTCTGAATTCCAAATGTGGCAGGACCTGAACGCTTATGTTGAGAAATTGAATCCACAGAGAGAATGAGAAAATTTCTGAAATGAATTCCACATAAAGCATTTTGCAACATATTTTCTTTTGCACCAGCCAATATATATTCTGTCCTTACCTTGCAAATAATCCCATAGAAGAAGCCACCTAGCAGTGTTGTAAATCTCTTTAACCTTCTTGAGGCCAAAGCCACCTCCTTTCTTGGAAGAGAGACAGTTGATCGGTTCAGATTGGTTCACATGTTGTTGGAACCATGAGAATTGGAATGGCTCCAATTTTTTAAAAAATCGATTCAATCTGAATCATGTGCACCTCCAGCCTTTTTACCTTTGCACAAATTCAAGTACAATAGTTTCATGCACTCTTCTGGAACTGAGCTACTTAATTATTTTGCACAAATTGGCTAGATATTTAATTTTCGAACATATCCAAGTTGAAGAGCTTGGTTAAGTTACCAATAGCGGATGGAATGGATCCGAAGATTTTGGGTATGTTTGTGATGTAGAATAGATGGCTAAAGATGTTGGAACCTGTTTAGACCATTAAAAAGGTTAAATGGGCGGGTTGACTAGTTTTTTTGGATGATTTCGACGAATCCATTTTTGACCTAGAAAAGAGATTACAACTTTCAAAGTAGTCAATTACCTTATATTTTAAAATGGGTCTTAGTATATTTGTTGACGCATGAATAGCCACATAGACTCGGTGAAGTAGTAAGTTTTTATTTGTCAGTCCAAATAGCAGGACTCTATATAATGTGAATTGACATTTTTCTTCTACAATCCATTCCTCTCCTTTATTGTTCCGTAAATGTGAGGTGATAGTAGAAAAATATACTTATTTGTATTCAACACCTATATTTATTATTATTATTATTAATTTTTCCATGAAGGAAATCGATCAGACAGGCTGTGTATGTCCTCAAAACCATTATTTGAAACCAGATTTTGTTTAGAAGCTTAAAAGTTCTATTTTTTGGTATGTACTCCTTATCTTTATCAGAGTTCATCTAGTGTAGTTTATTTAATAGTTCTTAAAAAATAATGGAGAAATGTTTAAAGATTAAAACTTTTGTTGCAGGAATGGTACTTATATTTACTATACAATGACTGGTGAATGTATTTCTCTCTACTTCTAGTGCCTTGTATATATGGTGCATTTGATGGAAGGAATATGAAAGAATTTGAGGGTGTGGAAGCTCCAATTCATAGATTGACACATCTTTCCTTGAAATCTTTATATACATGCATACATATAATATATATTGGATTGTTAAGCTTCATCTGTTGAGGGTATATTCTTATATTGTTATTTTACTCATAAATCATATAAATCGCTGTCTATATGAGTGTTAGACTTCGACTGGTAGTGTGTAAAACCATCCTAGTTATACAAAAGAAAAATAACTACTGAATAAGAAAAAATCTAGCCTATTTATTACAATTAAAAATGAAAATAGAGATTTTGAAACTATTGCATTTGTTCAACTAACAAACTGAAACCACCTGATCTTAGTCATTTGTGTCATCCTGGTCAGCTTCAACTGTTTCATCTTTATCATCCTCATCGTCCTCTTTGTTGTCGAAATTATTCCAGGGGTGGATAAAGATCTTAAGTCCATCGTATCCCATGCTTCGTTGTTGTTTTTGGATTTGCCTAACAGAACATGCCACATTGTTTGATTTAACCCCTTAGATTTCAAGTGTTATCTCTTGAAGATCTAAGATCCTTGTCATGTTATTTGGAGTGTTCCAACCTTGTTTAATTGCATAGACATTATGCTTTATCCTTGATTTCATGCCTTATCCTTATCGTGTTAATTGAATTGTTTCAATGTTGTTAATTTTCTTAGTTATCTTGTTTCATGTTACCTTATGCTATCGTGACATAGGAATGATCCTATACAAACAACTTGACTTAGATTCTAGGTGGTATGGACCACATGTAATGATTTATATCAAGATGCAAAATTTTTAAACCTTTAGGTCCTACGCATATTCATTTCCTGCGAGTAATCACGATTACTCACCCTGTGGTCTGGGTTATTTTTTCAGGTAAGGAGACGTTATTTTGGGATGCACATCATCCCTAGGCTTGCTTGCCTTCTTGGTGTATTTTTGTAACTCTAGAATGTGCACATGTTAGCACATCATGCCTTAATTTGGTTTATCTTATCATATGTTGTAAACTTTGATCACTATATGTAATGTATACATAAGTACACTTTTTATAATGTATTTGACTTGTATGAGATGTGGCCGGAGGCCAATGACAATTATTTCACATCTTATGTAATCTTTTGACTTCAAGTTTTATGGAAATGTTGAAAAATGTCAAGTCATTGTTTTACCATGCTTGTATCGGATGTGGGAATTCCATTTTTATTCTTCCATAGGGTCTCATTAATCATGTATGAAGTGTGGCCAAGGGCCAAACGGTAATTTGAAACCATTTCATAATTTTGGATTTCAAATTTTTATTTCAAGGTCCATTTTTGCCATTTTTGGCCTTCGGGGGGTTGGATTTTGAGTCGGGTCTTCTTGGGAGCTGCGGACCATTCCTACGCACTTAAATTCATTTATTTCACTTGTGTGCACATTTGTTTCAACCTAGAAATTCATGTAAGGTCAAATGCATACTTGGTGCAAAGTTGCATTTTCTGAGTTTTTGCCCTTTTTATGATCTTGGGGCATTTTGGGTATTTCACAGTGTATTTTTTTTTTTTTTCTGTTTTCTTCTGCGTAGCCGGGTAGAAAACTCGATTTTCGCGGGAGGGGGGGTGGCGGTGGTTTCTTCTTCATGTTTTTCCAAAAAATGTCGTTATGGGCCCCGTTTTTACTCTCTGTTTTGGCAGATTTCAGAAAAGTCCATGTAGCAGCTTTTTAACCCTTTTGACCTATTCTGATCTTAGGGCATTTTGGAGATTTCACAGCGTATTTTTTCATTTTCTTCCACTATGCAACGTAGAAAACTTAATTTTAGGGGGGGTTTCTTATTCGTGTTTTTCCAGAAAAGTTTGTTTTGGGCCTCATTTTGACTCTCAGCTCTGGCGAAAGAACATTTTTTTTGGTGCAGCAGCCATGTGCGTGCGCTCGCGCGTGCTGATGGTGTTGCCCTTTGCCGCTTCGTCCTTCGAACTTTGTTCCCTCGTTTCTCCTTCGTCCGGACTCCAAATCGAGTAAATTTTTTTTTGAACTTGACTAATTTTTCAACGTCTATCCAATAGTGTGCTAGGTTACGCCCAGATCTTTCTGGATAGTTACCAGTTTATCCTTTTTGCTCTATATGTCCGTTTTTCTTTGTTTTGCTGTTTCTCTTTCGTCCGGACTCCGAATCATGCGATTCTTGAGTCCATCTTAATTAGTTTTCCATTGTCTTTCTAGTGATATACTTGGTAGCACCTGAATCCATATTTTCAGAAATGACCATTTTGCCCTTGGGGCTTTTTTTGTCCGGTTTTCTTACAATTCACTTCCGCTACTTTCATTTGAGTTTCGTGATTTCCCATGAAGTCATGAATGTGTGTCGGGAATAATATACATTTTAGGGACGTCATTTCCATGTAAAATAATCATTTTGCCCCTAGGGGCTTATTTGTCATCTTTCCGATCTTTTGTTTCCGCGTCAGTTCTCATTGAGTTCCACGACCTCATGGAAGGTCATAAAGTCTCATTTTTTTTCTTTAAAGTCCGAAAAATTTAGAGAGAGAAAAGTGAGAGTTTTAGAAAGAGATGGTGAGAGGAAGAAGACCTAGGGGGTATTTTTGTAATTTTATAATAATTATATATTTTAAATTTAAAATTAATAATAAGGTGAATTTGGTTCTTTCACAATATAATTAACTGATATGGGAGAAGGTGATAAAGATTTTTAATTTTGGGGGTGATTTATTTTTGGTTGATTTTTTTTTTTTTTTCACAAAATTAGAAGTAATTTTAGTCAATTTTTTATTTTAAATTTTATAGGAAGAGAATGACACACGCCTAAAGAAAGTACGAGTTAAGGATTCTGCCATGCAAGGAGTTTATGTTAATGTGCCATCAGCAGCAGTACTCAATTTGACCGTTTGGGGAAAGGTAAAGCTAGAGTGAGAAACAAAATATAGAGAGAGGAAGTAAAGAAATAGAAGTACGCCGTACGTACGAGTGTTAGAGAGAGAGAGAGACGAAGACAAGCAAGGTAGTCGTTCGACGTTTTTTTATTTTTGTTTAATCTCTGATGTGAATTCTAAACTAGGGTTTTAGAATTGAATTTCGATTCGGACAGTTTCTACTTCTTCTCAAGAACCGGGTTTTGCGAAGAGAGTAGCGGAGAGAGGACTTTATGTCTTCGGCGTTACGATTTTGTGCCCCGATTTGAATTATTTTTGACTGGGGGCTCTCTCTCTTCGGCGTTCTTCGCTCTCTGAAGATTTTGGGGTTTATGCCTTTTTGTTGGGGGTTTTGATTCCGGACAGATTTGGGTTTTTTGGGGGTTTCCACATCAAGCGATTTTGATATCTTTTCGTGTTCTTGAGAGGGGCTTCTTTCTTGACAAATCCCTGATCGGTCTGTTTTCCTTTCCTTTCCTGTGTTCCAAAGTCGATATTTTGAGATGGTGTTTTCTGAGATTTCTGATAATCGAAGACTGAAATCGAGGAAAAGGGAAAATAAGGGTTTTTTGTTACGATGAGGATGGCACCGACTCTTCTAATGATGAAAGTCTTGACGAGCCCAAGCGTTTTATTAGAGAAATTTATCTCCCACTTGGTGGTATTCAGCAGAAAACAGATGGCTGCAAAAACCCTAAAAAGAGGGTTTTGACCAATACTTCGAACCAACAGGGACAATCTGGCTTGAAAAACAGAGGCGTACGACAGCGAAAATGGGGCCGATGGGCTGCTGAAATCCGGGATCCCTTCCAAGGAAAGAAGGTTTGGTTGGGTACTTTTAATACTGCTGAAGAAGCTTCAAATGCTTATGATAAGAAGCGGCTTGAATTTGATTCTTTAAAGGCCATTTCTTTCCCCAAGAAGAGTTGCAATCAATCTTCTTCGATGGCCTTCTCAAATTATCAAAAGCCCACTTTTTCTGAGGAGTCTTATAGTACAATGTCGCAGACAACTTCTCCGTTGTCTGTCCTTGAGATGGAGTCTTCAATTACAGCCTCTGCAGTGAAAGATGCTTGTGTTAGCACCATTCTTGCTGAACAGAAAGATTTGGCTTCGCACATCAACGGTATTGGCACCAATGTTCAGCAAGAAGAGATAGCTTTGGCTTTGAACATGAATGGCAGATGCTGCAATGATACAACGAAAGATGCTAGTATTGGCACCAATACTGGTGAGCAGCAAGTGCCCAATTTGGTTTCTGAGGATGCCCCATTGATGTCTCTTCCAATTGGGGAGGGCCTGGACTTAGCACTGGAGCTAGAGTCAATCTTTGCTGACAACGGTTTTGGCCAGTATTTAAGTGACAATCTTGACTATATTGGAGAACCCATTGAACTTTCAGATTGTTATTTCGAGTTGGATGGTGACCAGCTGGATCAAGAGAAGTATGATTGGGTGGATGAATTTTTCGATATGGAGAAACCCCTCAATATACCATGTCCACAACTTTTGCAGCAAGTAGGAAGCTAGTGTATTTACAGTATCATTAGAATAGTCTCAAGTTTTGCAGATTTTGTCTCTTTGTTTAGAAGAGTGTGTGTATGGATAATGAGTGAGTCCCTTCGTTTTCCTGTGCTATTAGAGCCGTCCAAGGGTTTGATGGTAAGAGGCAATTACTTTAATCAACGTGATTAAAGTGCCAATTCGTCGGAGTCCTCCTCCTGTCACCGGAATGTATGGTAGTATATATTAACGGTTACCATTTGTAATGTTGAGCTCATCATCAATTGGGTTATTTCTGAGGCCTGTACCTTGGGCTGTTGTATGCTCTAATACAATGGGCCCATTGGTTAGCTATTGCTAGCCTTGTATTTTCTCATATTTTTAATCAAATTTAACTTCTAAAAAAAGAGAGGCAATTACTGTTGCAGTGTCTTTATATCCCTTTATTGTTTCAAGCTTATTATGTGATTTGGCCAGTAGTGTATGCGTATGAATGTGACAATTGACCCCCCAAAAAAAACAATGTGTGTCTTTTGGGTTGATTATGTGCTCTGTTTAGAATGAATAGCAAATGATAGTTTCTGCTTTGTTCATACATACGATTCTTTTACATTACTTGATCTAATATTCATTGCACTCACGTTAGAAACTGTCTTAGTCAATCCACATATAATTAAATTCAAATCGAAAATATTGATAGAAAATATTCATGACAGCTAATAAGAATTGTAATTTTACCACATTAATATAAACTCTACCCTATAATATTCCCTTGCAAGTTGTGACAGATGTTAGAAAATCCGTAGTAAGAAACCCCCAATAACATATAATATAAGTATTTGTTGAAATGCGGTTGAAAATATAAAATCAGTGTTGATAGTATTTGCGACGAAATGTCTCTATAATGTTTCACTTTGGTATTTCTATATTGCTTGGCACTTGATATAATATATGTGTTGTTATTTTTTCAATTTTTTTCACTTTTTTACACACCAATTTGCTTTGTCACCATTGGCTTTTGATTCTTGAATTGGATATCTAGGTTGCAAAACGTATCGAGATTGGATTGCCATAGCTCATATTTCTAGTTATTTTTTCATAGGTAATGTTTAATTGTGTATTGCTTTTCATTGCAATGGTCTAGGTTTCGAGCTTTATACTTTCTTTTTTTTTTCTCCGTTAGAATCCTAAATCATCTTAAGCAGATTGGTATTTTATCTCATTAGCGTCACACATCTTAATGTTTTCAGTTTATACCTCATCTAATGAGTGGGGAGAGGCATGTCTTTGGCCGCTTTGTTGTTATATTCTCGGTGGTGATTGTTTGGATTTATGCTCACCTACTTACTGTGGGTGGGGCATATAATAATGCACCTATGAAAACTCAATTAAGCTACCAAACAGATCGTGCTGGACTTATAGGTGTTGCTCCATGGTAAGGCTAGTTGTTTATCTTCTAATTGATGTTTATGATTCACGTTATGATGCTTTATGTGATCATGAGTTCCAGAGAGTATTTCTATAAAAGTATACTCAAATAGGAAAAATCCATGCTAGTTAGTCTACTTTATGCAATAAGCTAAAATAAAGACTCTGGTGAATGCAAGGTTTAGCTGTTCTCCTGATAACTTAAGGATGCATGGAAAACCATTGTGGGGTGTCATTGTTAATAACTGTGACTTATTTTTATTCTAGACATTTTCAGGATTAGAGTCCCATATCCATTTCAATGGGGAGCTCCCACATTCTTGTAGAGGTATTGTGCTTGTTAGTTGAAGCCTGAGATACATCATTAGACATTTGGATTGTTTCTCAGGGAACCATCAACTTGTCACTTCATATTGTTGTCTCCTGTTATGTATCCGTTGTGGTATTTATGTGCTTAAGTCGTGTTTAGTTTCTCTTCTAATGCAGTCGAGAGGTTGGTTATGTTATGTAGCTTGGTAGTTAGCGTAAAGCCGTAAAACTTTTATTTATGAGTTGAGTTGTTTCTGCAAAATTTGTATGAAATATCTTATCCAAAGTTGTATTGACTTTTGAAGCAGGCACACTATTGCAGAATCTTTTTGATATTTCTATTGCAACACTTTCCTCCCTGTTAATGGCATAAACCCTCACTTTTCTACATCCATCTTTGAACCTTATTACAAACCTAACACTACAACATATAAGGCTTTCACCAGTGCTTAAAAGCGCTGGTAAAAACCTGAAAAATTGTTGGTAATTCAATTACCAGCACTTCTGGAAAAGCGCTGGTAAATCCAGTGTCGGTAGGGCTTTACCAGCGCTTTTCAAAAAGCGTTGGCAAAGACCATTTACCAGCGCTTTTTTTTTTTTTTTTGAAAAAACGCTGGTAAAGGGTCATTTTATTTATTTATTTATTTTTTCCTCTTTACCAGCGCTTCTTAAAAAAGCGTTGGTAAAAGGTCATTTTTTTTTTTCATTGTTTTTGGAAAAATATGTTCACAGCTGCTAAATGATATCCAATAGTTACACAAGTTAGAATCAAGAGTGCATGTTAAAAACAATAAAGAAATAAATTTTGAGTGGGATTACAATTACTCGTACAAATATGATTATTATTATTATTATTAGTAATAATAATTAAAAACACACACACACACACACACACAAGAGTCCAGATGACATACAGAAGCATTAAGAGCCCACCAAAATCAATCAGAAAGCCACAATCTTTTCTGCCAGTTAACTTGCATACAAATATCACTTGATATTTACAATTACTCGTACAAATATGATTCCTTCTTCGTCCCTTCTCTGCCAATACAATAAAGAACTTGGCGGGTTAACATCTCTAACACAGTGCATCCAAGGCTTCATATATCAGCCGCAAGCCCAAAGCCGCCACGACTCTTAACAACCTGCCAATGCATGTCTAATGTATTACAAAATAGAGACAAGTATGCCAGAGGCATTCTATGGGAATCATATTTATAAAAAGGTAACTTTCCTCCACAGAAAACTGAAAAACCAAATGAGTAACATACCAATCAGCTCATGTATGAATAGAACAACAATTTGTATGAAATTAAATGAGGCAAAAAAACTGTAACATGCCCTGATGTACTATGAAATGTATTTTATGACAAAATAAATTGTAACAGTTGTGCTATGAAATGTAAGCAGTCACAGCAACCAAGTAACAAATTATGAGTCATTGTAGACATAGTTTTTCTCTGTAAACTGAACTATGAAACTGTTTTATTTGAATTTAGTCTATTTGCATTTCAAAGAAGTGTTTCTTTCATTCAACAAGACACTACAAAGAAAACATAATGGACCATAAAATTCTACTATCATGAAAGGCCATAAATAAAATAAAATAGTTTGTAGATATTTCCTGAGCCATAATAACTTGCCATCATGGGGGAAAAAAGGTCAAAGATCTGGACTAAACCAAACAAATACAACTTGGAAGAAAAATTGGAAAAAGATAAAGAAAACAAGTGAAGAAAGAGAGAATTAAATGAAGAAAGAGAGAATTAAATTTCTTACCCACAACAAAGTCGGTGAAAGACCAATACTCTGCACCCAAAAGATAAGCACACAGAAAATGTTGGCGTGCAAGATTATACCAAATTCGAGAGCAAGATTGAGTACAAGATTCTGTAATTACTCTATTAGAATATGAAAACAAAAACAAGTGGTGGGGGTTGATTAAGACATGATTGGTATAAAGAGTAAAGAACAAGAACATCAAATATATATAGATATAGATATAAAGACACTATATATTGAAAAGAATACAACCAATAAGAAGGTAAAGTTTTGAAATATAATCTACAGTATATTGAAGAAAAGAAGAGAACCCATCAATTATAGTAAAGTTTTGAAATATAATTTTATTTTCACAGTATTTTTCATGGTACTTAGATAGAAGAATTTGATTGGTACAAAATCTAGAACAAAATGCCTACCTAATGCCTATCTAATTATATATAGGAGATGTAATGTATTTATGCGTTAGAGATTGAGATTGCAATGTGATATATATATATAAAACACATATATAATTTGATATATGTGGACATGAAACACATATACTTATGGTGAAAGACATAAGTATGAAGGATCACATGATTCTGTCTTCCAACTAATGATCAAAGATTAGGGGACCAGAAAATCACAGAGTAAACTGACACTAGAGAGCTGAAAACAAGACTTAGCTATCCAAATAGCCACTAAGCATGCAACCAATTTCATATATAAAATGCACACATTAACATACATATAGAAATCTTGAGAAAAAAAAATATAAACTTGAATTATGATATTACTGGAATAAGAAGTCAAAGCAACCACCCACCAACAAACAGAGTTGTCAACTTGTAAGCCCTCTACACAAACTTTATTCATCAGTAACCCACCAAAATCATGCTATAAAAAAGAAAAATAATATGAGATTTAATCAAATGAGATATCAAAGCTTAAACCTCATGAATTTTTCTAATTCGGCCATTTTTATTAGATGCAACTCAAAAATAAATGTTTGGTCATAATTTTGTTGATCTGCAAGAACTGAAAATTATATTAGTAAAGATAACTCCAATTTTATAAAGATGGCTCATAATTCCAGAAAATTGAATTCTGGTAAGGCATCAGAACAGTTAATCTAACTCATGACAAATATAGTTTTGCTGGGAATATTTGAAAAAAGAAAGAAACAGAGCGAATGATAATTAATTATTTCAAATAAGACGTGAATATTGTTGCCAAACTACAATGAATAGTACTACAATGAAACGTGAGATCCCTTAAACCACAAGTAACATTCACACGTCTCGCTGAAAATATAGCACTCAGAAACAAAGAAAGAACTTGACCAACGAGGTAGTTAGCGGAATCCACCATTGCTTAACATTGTTGAAGCTCTCCATCTCAGTGACATCATAAACAATCTGTTGCAAATCTCAGTTCATGTAAAATTCTTTTCAAGCTCAAAAGAAAAAGGGTACTTGGAATCATCATCATAAGCTTTATTGCCACCACCAACATTATATAAAAGAAAGTGAGTTCCATAAGTAGTGACTCAAAAAGGGTCTGTGATGCATAAAAAAAAAAAATGGTCAAAAGCAGTTGATAAACCATTTAAAATCTTAAATCAAAAAGGGTCTGTGGTGTATAAAACAAAAAAACCCAAACTACATAAATAAAGCATGCCATAAGACTCCAATCCCAAACATTTTGAGCCTTATATATCAAATATAATATCATCTATATATATATACATACATATAGCATGTACGGACAGTACCCACAATATAGCAAAACATATACACATAAATTTTGATCCTCAAGATTCCAATATATATGTATCTATATATGAAACAATTAATAAACTGAAAGCAACAAAAAAAATCAAAACACTCACACAT